TTTTAAGAGTAAAATTATCATTTCAATCATGCTATTAATTTCTCATTAGTAACTGGAAAAATAAAAGTTTGAATACCCAGAAGTCAATCTCATTTTACATTTCTTTCTTTGCCAGACAGGAAGCCGAAATTAGCAAACACTTTAGAGAATTAAAACTGTGATCAAAATATAGGCTGTTATATAAGCTAACCAATAATTTTCTTTTCTTTTCTTTGGAACACTAGCTCTCAACATATTTCCAGCCCTGACACACCTGTGATTTGTGAGAACACACCAGGGAGTCTACAATCTGTCCATTGTGCCAGCCTCTATCCATACCCCCTGCTCTTCAAACCTTTTCCTCAAACCATGCGCCCTAAGCCAACACTCCCTCATAATTACTTCCACTTGAATCTTTCTATTTCCTCCTTCCCACAATGAATGGGGAGCCCCAGGAGATCCGAACCATAATAGGAAACAAGTAATTCACCAGAGTCTCTGGGGCAAAAGGAAAAGCAGTTCATTTGAGGTTATATTATCTCCCAATTATACACACTCACTGTTGTTCAATTACATTTGCACTTACAGGCTACACTGGTTCTAATTTAAATGCCATCAGCCTTAGTTTCTTGACTATCTAATTTCTTTTCCCTCCATTTTTTATCCTTCTGTAAATCACCATCATTATATCTAAAAAAAGGAAGTCGGTGTTCATTACTTTCACAAACATAACTCACAGAATAAAACAATGGAATCAAAAGAGAATATTTTGGCTTTAACATTACTTTTTATTTTCTTCAAAGATTACACGCTGCTAACTGAAAGCTTACCAGTTCAAATCTGCTAGATGCTCCTCGGGAAAAATATGGGCAATCCCCTTCCACGAAGATTTGCAGCCTCAGAAATCTGATAGAGGGTCACTATGAGCCCAAAGTGACTCAGTGAAGGTGAGTTTAAAAAGAATTGATGTCTGTGAGCTGCAGTGCCGGAGAAAAGTATTGAATATACCATAGACTTCCAGAAGAAAAAAATAGGTTTATTCTACAGAGGACGAAACCAGGCTACTCCTTGAAGGCAAGGATTCTGAGCCTTTGTCTGACATTCTTTGGACATGTTGCAATGAGAGATGTCAAGCTTGAAAGGGTGGAGGGACAGAGAAAGAGAGGAAGACCATCCATGAGACAGATTGATTTGGTGATGGGGTAATGAAGATAGATGTATCAGAGACAAAAAGGTTGGCACAGGATAGAGCAGGTTTCAGGGCTGTTGTATATACTGTTGCTATGAGTCACAAGCGACTCAAAAGCACATAACAACAACAAAATATGTACAGTGCAGAAAGATAGGATACCTCAGGATCATGCAATTTCAATCTGTTGTACAAGATCACTCACTATATTGCTGTTATGTGCCATTGAGTTGCCCATGACTCATAGTAACCCTGTGTGTAACATTTCTGAAGCCTGCCCTGTCCTGACCCAGGCTCACTCACTCTGATACGCATACGCTCATTGCCCCAGTTACTGTATCAATTAATCTCAACAAGGGTTTTCCTCTCCTGTGCTATCTCTACAACCTTCCAAGAACGATGGCCTTCTCCAAATACCAATCCTTTTTGTACATGTGCCCAAACTGTATGAGATGGAGCTTCAAAATCCTAGCCTCCAAAGAGAAATTTTCTTTCACCCTCTTTAAGACAGACCTATTTATTTTCTTGGTGGTACACAGTATGTTCAAGACTCTTTTCCAACACCACAACTGAAAGGCATCAATTCTTCTTCAATCATCCTTAGTCACTGTTAAGCTCTCTGATGCAAGATCATTATTTTTGTTGTTGTTGTTATGTGCCATCGAGTCGCTTGCAACACATAGTGACCCTATAGTCTGAAACAGCAGCGATCACTATAGTCTGAGTCAAATCAATTGCACAATACCATAACCAAATATTCACAGAATTTACAGAATAACGTCTTTTGGAGATGATTAGATTATATGACAATTCATTAGAGATCTATCTATCTCTCCACCTAGCACATAACTGTATTTCATTCTTTAAATGTTCAAGTACATTTACAATAGAGAACTTCTGTATAAATTTGCTTTTGCATAGTGATAGATTTTATTTCATAAGACTAATTCTTACCTAAGTAGTTCAAAATGCTTGAAATACAGCAGGTGCACAACACTACCAGAAGCAGCTTCATATAATAAGAGAATGAAGGACAACAAAAGATGACATTTAGCATCTAAATGTGCATTTAATGAAGCTTATTTTTTGAGGCACATGGACTAGATAAAATATCCCTTTAAAAACTGAAGAGGGTTTGTTTTGTTTCCCCAAGCAAACGCTGTATGAAAAATACTTTCATCTAAATTACTTTCAGTTTGTAAGTTTCATCATCATAATGACGTGTCCATTTAGACATCAGGAGTACTTTTCTAATCCTCTGTACAAGAAGATTGAGGCATCTACTGTAGTAAAGAAAGAAGCTGTTGTTGAATACTATCAAGTTGGAACTGATGCATAGCTGGCTTCTAGTGGGTTTTCAGGGGTGGCAAATTTCATGAGAGGAGATTGTCCATCATCTTGCCATTGAGTAGTTGTTGTTATGTGTCATCTAGTTGCCTGCGACTCATAGCAACCCTATGTACAGCAGCTCTGAAGTCTGCCCTGTCCTGAGCCAGTCTCACTGATTCTGACATACCCAACCCCATTGCCCTAATTACTGTATCAGTCCATCTCTTCTGGGGTCTTCCTTTCTTGCACTGTCTCTCCTCCCTTCTGAGAATGATGTCCTTCTCCAAGGATCCTGGCCACATGCCCAAACTATGTGAACTAGAACTTCAAAATCCTAACCTCCAAGGAAACACTTGGTTTCATCCTCTCCAAGACAGACCTATTTGTTTTATTGGCAGTCCATGGCACATTCAATATTCTTCTCCAGCACCACAATTCAAAGGCACCCATTCTTCTGTCATCCTTAGTCTTGTCTAGTTCTGCAATGCATAACAAGTAATTGTGAAGACCATGGCCTGGATTGTTGTTGTTTGTTGTTAGGTGTCGTCGAGTTGTAGACGACTCATAGCGACCCTATGAATGAAAGGCCTGAGCACTGTTCGTACATAGAGTTTCTGGAGGCAAGCCATTTTGGAAGTGGATGTCGCTCCTGCTTCCAGGCTTGTTTTAGTCGGGAAGCTCCAGCAAACACTGTCCACCATGGGTACCCATTACCATGATTGGCACATCACCGTCACAGTGTTCAGCATCACAGCAACCACGAGTTACCTCTGTGCACAGACCAGTGCTATATCACCTAGAAGAATGTTTGGCAGGAAAACAATCTGAACCCACCCTGAGGGCTGCAGATTAAAACCACCCACCTTCAGCTCGGTAGCATAACATTCTGTCCACTAGATGGCCTGGATTAGGCACACCTTAATCTCTAGACTGACATTGTTGCAGTTCAGTACTCTGGAGAGAGTCTCTGACAGTAAATTTTCCCAATACAAGCTGGTAGATTTGAACTGCCTACCTCTGTGTCAATGGCGCAAATCCTGACCTACTATGCCACCATAGATAGCTCCCTACAGGAAGAGAAAAGAACGTCAAATATTTTGGACTATTTAGCTCCTTGGAGTGCTAACATCCTTATGTATAACAATAGAACACAATACTCTCGGAATTGGTGAAGATCAATGAAGCAAATGATGGAAATTTTTCTATAAACTATCATGGATATGCAAAGTTAAAAAATCATTTATTGGATGAATAATGATAGGATGTTAATGATAACAAACATAATAAAAATAAATTCTATTAAGCAAATTGCTCATTTACATCAAAACAACCTTGAAGGAGTTGTTTACCCTCCCATTGGCCCACCAGGCTTCTCACACTAGATAGATAGATAGATAGATAGATAGATAGATAGATAGATAGATAGATACATGCATACATACATACATACATGATAGATAGATAGATAGATAGATAGATAGATAGATAGATAGATAGATATGAAAGCGGCTGAGGCATGGCATTGATTGGATCTGAATCATCCTCGCCTGAATTTCAGGAGGCCGCTTCAGACTGAGCTAGGTTGTGAACACCATCAATTCCGTGTTCTAGGTCCATCTGTTGGCAAAAATATAATGCAAACAGCTTCAAAAGTGCTATTTTCAATAAAATATCACAGAACAGCTTGTCCCAATGATATTTCTAAAGCTTGCCTGCAAACCGCCTACTGGGAAATCCAATAGAAAGAAATGGGGGAAGAGAAAGAAACCCATTCAGAGAAGTGACAGGAAGGGGAGGGGGAGAACAAAGGGTAGGGAATAGTTAGAGGTAGGAGAACACCTGAGGGGAGAAAGAAGCAGTGAGCACTTTAATATCAGGTACTGGCAAAATTAGCTAGAAACCATAAGGAATAGAGAATTTTAAAAAAAATACATGAAAAACTAGGTAAAGGGACAGTAGAAAAAGGACCACAAATAATGCAGAATGTCAAGAGAAATGAAAAGAAAAAGAGTACAAAATACCAGGAAGTATGTGACAACAGCTCAATGATTGGAGCACAATTATTAAAATGTTGAGGGAAGAAAATTAGATGAATTCTTTTTGTCTAAGCGTCATGTATTTCTTCAAATAGCATTCAGGATAATTCCCGCTCCCCACTGCCACAACCACCCTAAGGCTAATGATGATAAAGAGTTGTTCTGCCAACCCAAAAGCAGATGGTTTGAATCTACCAGATTTTCTGCAAGAGAGAGATCAAAATATCTCCTTCCATGCAATTTACAGCTTCTGAAAACTCACACAGGGTCGGCTAAGAATCAGTTTTACATGGAAGGCATATAACAATGATAAAAATATCAATGCCTTTCCCTAACTCCTCAATCCCATTTAATGTCTGGTTTATGTACCATAAGAAAACTCAGATATTTCAGTATTTGGATAAAGCATGTACAGATTCAGAAACAAAACACGCTCTCATGCAGATGATATCACTCGAGGCTCTTACCTGGGGTCGAATAACTTTTACAATATTTTTGAGGGCAGTGTCGGGAGATGGAGGTGAGCAATCAGGAGTTGGGCCTGTTGAGCTGTTTCTATGGTTACTGGTTCCTGGAGCAGTAATTGCTACCTCTGAGGCATTATCTGTGAATAAAAATAGAAACTCCATGAACCTAAACATTCACTTTACCTTGCAAGACTTGAACTTACTTTTGTGAACATTGACTGAGATTTCAACTTAAAATTCCCATCTAACAAGGTTTTAATGAAGGCTATGCATAGTGGTTTTAATTGGTTTTGGTCAAAAAGTCTTCTAAGTGGTATAGCCCTGCTTGTCCATTTGCTGTTCAGAGGTTACTCATGGTTGATGTGATTCTGAACACTGTGACATTGATATGTCTAATGTTGTAATGGTTACCCATGGTGGACAGTGTTTGGTGGAGCTCCCCGATTAAAACAAGCTTGGAAGCAGGAATGGCATCCACTTCTGTAATAGCTTGCATCTGGAAACTATGAACTTGGAGAAATGATGTAATTATACAAGTGTTCAGGTCTTTCGTTCATAGAGTCACTATGAATCATCTACGACTCGACGGCACTTAACAACAACAACAATATGCGTAATGGTACATTTTAAAGATACTGCTTATTTCAGTTTTGTTACTTCAAACTGGCCAATATAATTACCTTTAGTATTGTTTCAAGAACGGTAAGTATTGTTCAATTCATAAAGCTTCATAATCTAGCATAGCTATTAATACTGCCATTACTAAAGAATATATCATTTCTTTAAAAAGCTTAATTGTTTTCCTCCTGAAAACACTCAAATAAATAATAAGCATTACTAAAGTAGGAGTTTCACATGACTCTGTTCTGTAAAACTTAAAATTCAGGTCTTCTCATATTGCTTCTTCCCAAAAACCCCTGAAGCACAAGAAAGTGTTCTAAAAATTACATTTACTCAAAAAGACTTTGTATAAAGGAAAGAAACAGTTTGGGACAAAGTTATCACTGCTAGATAAGCAAGTCCTTCCATTATTTTGTATATATGCACAAAATTAAAATGAATGAAATCTCAACAGTCTCAATCGTTCCTTGTGTTCAGTGCTGGGGGTGGTGGATAAAGAATGCGATGCCTTGAAAATCAGCAATATGCGTTATATTTTCTTCTTAAATGTATATTAAAACAAAATAACAGCAAAGATACAGTTTTGGAACATTTAAAATGCTTAGAAAAGATGAAAACTTTTCTATAAATAATTCCCACCAGCACATAGGAAAATCAGGCTATTTTAGCCACAATCTTTGGCAATCCTTTATAGCTTTTTATGAAAACTGTTGCAAGCTCAAATTGGAAGAAAAAAATCCACTTTCCTGTTATGTTTTAATTAGTTCTAAATAATTTTCTGCCTTAGACAGCTGAACTGATGTCGAAGAGACCAAAACTGTGAATTCTATAAAACTAGCAAGTTTCTCTGTTCTGTGATCATTGTCTGCTATTCTAGCTGAAAATAAATAATTTATGAAGTCACCTTTGGCTCATGAAAAAGAGCACAGATTCTCATAAAATCTACCTAACACATAAAAATATAATTCAGTCTCTCTGGAGACTCCAGGAAGAGGCTCAGGAAACCAGTAACACAAGTGCATTAAACACATCATTCATAAAATAAGTTTGTCAAGTCTCAGGAGCTAACTTCAAGATTTCATAGATGAAGTGAGATTTGGATTGGACTTCCAGAATAGATAAGGGTCATAAAAAAAAGTTTACATGGTGGTCTTCTTAGTAGGCTAGATTAATATTAGGAAAGACCAAAACAGATAAAATACCATGCAGCAAAAAAATGAAATTATATTCTCACTTTCTAGGTATTCTTTCTTTGTGTCATTAATTTATGATACATTTAAAGACACTGATGGAATCATTGCTGATGCCAGATAGGTCTTGGCTGGAAGCAGAGAATATAAAAAAGCTGCTTGCTTGTGTTATTTACAATGCAAAAGCTTTTGATGGTGTAGATCATAAAAAAATTATGGATAACATTAAAAATAGTGGGAATCTCAGAACACTTAAAAGTCCTTAAGCAAAACCTAATCATAAACCAAGAAGCAGTTGTCTGAACAGAACAAGGGGACACTGCAAGGATTAAGATCAGGAAAGTTGTGTGTCAAGGTTGCATCCTTTCTATTCAAATTCAAATCCTATTCAAATTTATATACAGAGCAAAAAAATTGAAATTCTGGATTATGTGAAGAAGAATGTAGCATCAGGATCATAGGAGGAATCATTAAAAACCTGGGTTATGCAGATGATACAACCGTAGAAAGTGAATACAACAGGAAACACATGCTGCAGAAGATCAAAGACTGCAGTTTAGAATCTGGATTACATCTTACTATCAAGAAAACAAATATTCTTACTACTGGATGAACAGGCAAAATCATGATAGATGGGGAACATACTGAAGTTGTTAATTACTTCATTTTACTTGGATCCACAATCAATATCCATGGTGACAACAATCAAGGAATCAAAGGAGTTGCATTGGAAAAATCTACCATCAGGGACTTCTCCAACGTAATAAAAGGCAAGGATATCTCTTTAAAGAGCAAGGTGTTCCAAGTATAAGCCATGGGATTCTCAATTGCTTCCTATGCATCTGAAAATTGGATAGCGAATAGAGATGACAGTAGGAGAGGCATTGCCTTTGAATTGAGTTGTTGAAGAAGAGTACTGAATATTCCATGGATTGC